CATCCAGTCGTGGACCCGCCTGCATACCCTGGATGGCAAGATCGAAGGCCCGCTGTTCCAGCTGCCGGCCGGCGAGATGCGCGCCGCGTTCGGCTTCAACGCCAGCCGCGAAACCTTCTACACCCCGGGCAACGCCGATGCAGCCAACGGCCTGATCACCCAGCAGGGTGGTTCCTGGTTCGACGGCAAGCGCAACACCTACGCGCTGTTCGCCGAGACCGTGGCGCCGATCACCGACAAGCTGGAGCTGGATGCCGCAGTGCGCGTGGACAAGTACCCGAACTTCAGTGCCAACGTCGCGCCGAAGATCGGCTTCAAGTACCAGGCGTTCGACCAGCTGATGCTGCGCGGTACCTATTCCACCGGCTTCCGTGCTCCGAGCCTGGCCGAGTCCGGCAACGGCGGCGTGTTCGCGCAGCTCGGTGGCTTCCGTGACGAACTGCGCTGCGGCGAGACCAATGCCATCGCCAACCTGCTGCTGAAGTCGCAGCGGCCGGGCGATGTCGATCTGGGCAAGACCCTGCTGAACGTGGATTGCAGCCGCACCGTGGCCCGCATGACCCAGCCGAACAAGGACCTGAAGCCGGAAAAGGCCAAGATCGCCACCCTCGGCTTCGTCTACGAGCCGGCAACCTGGCTGTCGGTGTCGGCCGACTACTGGTTCATCTACCGCGACAATGAAATCGTCGCGCCGGACTACCGCCGCATGGAAGACATCATCTCCTCGTCGCGTTCGCCGATTACCGACAGTGACCGTGCGAACCTGGCACAGCTGGCGGCAATGTGCGCCGATCCGGCCAGCGGCGTGAGCTGCCCGTCGGTGCTGCCGGGCTACTCCGCCGGCAACGTGGCCAGCGTGGTCGGCCAGTACAAGAACCGTGGCAAGACCCTGATCGACGGCTTCGACATCGATGCGCGCAGCCGCTTCTCGCTGGGCGACTGGGGCAACCTGAACATCGGCCTGGCCGCCACCATCGCCAACCGCAACCGTTTCTACATGGATGCGGAGAATGGCTGGTACTACGGCGACGTGGTGGGCTACTACAACAACCCGCGCCTGCGTGCCACGCTCAATGCCGACTGGACCTACAAGCAGGTCACCACCAGCATGTTCGTCAATTATGTCGGTGGCACCAAGTGGGCAACCGACCAGATCGACGAAGAGAGCAACAACAAGGAAACCTGCACCGGCGGCTACCTGGCCCTGCAGAAGAGCAAGTGCGATGGCGCGCCGTCGTGGTGGACCGCCAACATGAGCGTCACCTGGCGCCCGGATGATGCGTGGAACCTGAGCTTCACCGTCAAGAACCTGTTCAACCGCCTGCCGTTCTACGATCCGAACAGCTTCCTGGGTGACTCCAGTGACTACGCAACCATCTTCGGCCGTGGTTACAGTGTGACCATCGGCTACCGTTTCAAGTAATTCCGTTTGCGTGACCCGGCGGGCCGGCTACGGCCGGCTCGCTGCCAAGAGGAGAGATGTTTGCCATGAAGCGTAGGGAATTCATCGCGGCCAGTGCCGCTGTCGCCGCCAGCAGCCTGTTGCCGCAGACCCCGGCCTGGGCACGCGGGCGCAAGGTGCGTCTGGCCATGATCGGCACTGGCATGCGCGGCCTGGTGCTGCTGAAGGAGCTGGTACGTCGCGACGATGTCGAGGTGGTCGCGCTGTGCGACATCGAACCGATCATGCTCGGCCGTGCCATGGACATGGTGGCCAAGGCCGGCAAGCCGGCACCGAAGACCTACGGCCAGGACCGTGACACCAACGCCTGGAAACGCCTGCTGGAACAGAAGGGCATTGATGGCGTGATCATCGCCACGCCGTGGGAGTACCACGCGCCGATGGCGATTGCGGCGATGCAGGCCGGCGTGGCCGTAGGCTGCGAAGTGGTGGCTGGCATCACCCTGCAGGACCACTGGGACGTGCTGAAGACCCAGCTGAGCACGGGCACCCCGTACATGCTGCTGGAGAACGTCTGTTACCGCCGCGACGTGATGGCCGCGCTGCAGATGGTGCGCCAGGGCCTGTTCGGCGAGCTGGTGCACCTGCAGGCCGGCTACCAGCACGACCTGCGCGGCGTGAAGTTCAATTCCGGCGACCCCAACCAGCCCTACGACAGCGGCGTGGAATTCGGCCCCAAGGGCTGGAGCGAAGCACGTTGGCGCACCGAGCATTCGGTGGAGCGCAACGGCGAGCTGTATCCCAGCCACGGCATCGGCCCGTGCGCGATGTACACCGGCATCAACCGTGGCAACCGCTTCACCCACATCAATGCCTTCGCGACCAAGGCGCGTGGCCTGCACGAATACACCGTGGCCAAGAGTGGCGGCACCACCCACCCCAGCACCAAGGTGAAGTTCAAGCTGGGTGACATCGTGACCACCACGCTGGCCTGCGAGAACGGCGAGACCATCCTGCTGCAGCACGACACCTCGCTGCCTCGCCCGTACTCGATGGGCTTCCGCGTGCAGGGCACCAAGGGCCTGTGGATGGACGTGAACCATTCGATCCACATCGAAGGCCGCAGCCCGCCGCACCAGTGGGAGGAGTTCAAGAAGTACCAGGACGAGTACGAGCACCCGCTGTGGAAGCAGAATGCCGACACCGCCGCCAGCGCCGGCCACGGCGGCATGGACTGGTTCGTGATCCATGCGTTCGTGGAAGCGCTGAAGGCCAAGGCGCCGATGCCGATCGACATCTACGACGCAGTGACGTGGAGCGCGATTACCCCGTTGAGCGAGCAGTCGATCGCCAACAGTTTCCAGACGCTGGAGTTCCCGGACTTCACCGCCGGTGCGTGGAAGCAGCGTAAGCCGATTTTTGCGTTCGACGGCAGGTATTGATCCGCTCTCTGTAGAGTCGAGTCATGCTGGACTGTTTTGAACACAACGCCGGGCACTGCCCGGCGTTGCTGTCTGCATCGGTGCGTTGGCACCCGTAGAGCCGAGCCCACGCTCGGCTGTCTTTCCCGCCGGTCGCATTAAACTAGCGGCCCCACCGTTGGCGGAGCCCCATAACATGCCATGGCAGAAGGTCAGCGAACTTCCTGACCAGCGATTCGTCGGCCCCTACGGCATCGAATTCTGGCGAATCCAAGAAGGCCAGGTCTTCCACCAGGGTCGGTTGCTGCGCAAGGCCGACGCAGCGAGCTTCGAGTTCATTCCGGCGCACTACTTCATCGGTCGCGATGCGCACGCGGTCTATCATGCTTGGACCCGGCAGACCTCCATCGACCAGGACAGCTTTCGTCAATGTGGCGCGTACTGGCTGGACAACCACGCCGTCTACTTCGAGCACGAGACCTCGCTGAGGGCGATGGCCGAGGCAGATTGCACGACGTTTCGCGATCTCGGCGGCGGCTACGGGGCCGACGACCATGGCGGCTGGTACTGCGGCCGGCGGATGAAGCACTGCCAGCGTGGCGAGCTGCTGCAAGGGATGCCACAGGACCCCCTGTACGCCGTTGACGACAGCAGCGTCTACTGCGACGGGAAGCCTCTGCCCGGCGTGGATCACGCGCGCTGGCGGTTGCTGGGCGGACGCTTCTCGGGCGATGGCGGCCGTGTCTACTACTTGGAACGGAAGCTGCCGCGCGTGGATGTGGCGTCGTGGCGTCGTGGCGCCTGTTGCAGGGGAGCTGGTCGCGGGACCACAAACACCTGTTCCATATGTTCATGATCGACCGACCCGATGCTGCGTGCACAGCATGGTTTCACGCATGATGAGGGTTGACGCGCGACGCGGTTACCGCGACACCTTGATCTGCGTCAGCCGTCCCCCGGACGCCCTGGCATGCGGTACGCGGAACATTGCACCAGGTTGCACGAGTTCGGCCTGCTGCATCATCTTGGGCCACCACTCCAGAAGCCGCGCTGCGCGGTCGTAGTGGTTGAACGTGCTCCAGCCCTTGGCCAGAACGAATACGGTCAGGCCGAGGCGTGCGATCGCCTCGCGCTCTGCGGGCTTGCGATGATGATGATCCTGGGTAACGTGTACGCGGATGCCACGCTGGGTGGCCACGTCGAAGAGCTCCAAGTCAGTAGTGCCGGGCTTCACGAACTCCCTTACGTGGAAGACTTCGTGTTCGTCCGTTCCTGCAATGGCGTCGATGGCCCGGGCCAGCGCGGGCGGAAGATTCTCATCGATCTGTGCCTTCAAGGCGCGGCTCGATTCTCGAACTGCAGTGCCTTCTTCACCGCAGTCAGAGGCAGGTCATATAGCCTGGCCACGCGACGCTCGTCGCCACCTTCGGCACGCAGCGCCTCGACAATGGCGATGGTAGGAACGCCCGATTCGTAAAGGATGGGCTGACCAAAACTGCGCTGTGGATCAAATACCACCGCGCGGGAGCCCCTCAGTGGGAACCATCGTTCGGCACGATCATCGATGCCCAGTTCGATGCCGTCACGCAGTGAAGGTGCGATGACCTTGCGCATCACGTCCTGGCGCTTCACCACATCCACCAGTGCAGCATCGCCGCTGTCGCCCACGAGCTCCATGAAAATGCGGCGCCCATCGGTCTTGAAGCTGGTGCTTGTGAAGGGATATTCCTTGCCGAGCCGCTCGTTCAGCTCGGCAATGGTTCGCCGCACCAGGTTGAGTGGCACGCCACATGCGACGAATGTGCGGACGAAGCGGAGCTCGATCAGATCGCGAAAGCCAATGCCGTCGATCTCTGAATCGGCCCATTGCGACTTCCACAGGGGAGGGTGGGCTTCCGGATGCCCATGCTTCCGGCCCTGGTAGCCCTTCAGCCAACGGCGCAATTCCGACGAGCTACCGCCAATGAAGCGCGCGGCATCGGCGTAGGAATAGAGACCGACGCCGAGGCTGTCCTGTGCTGGCAAGGCGATACCCATGGCAGGGAGTCTACTCAATCCGAATGGAGCTGGAGTACAGAGCCACATTCTGCGCCCTGCGGGACTCATAAGCTGAGAACGGGGACACGCACGGGCGAATCTGCCCGGTGATTGGCAGGCCGAAACCGACAAGAAGATGGCGCGCCCGGAGGGATTCGAACCCCCGACCAATGGCTTCGGAAGCCACTACTCTATCCGGCTGAGCTACGGGCGCGTTGTAGAACCGCCGCGCCGTCGGCCAGTGCCGGGGCGGGCATCGCAGCGCCATGAGGCGGTGCGGGACGGGCATTCTATCCAGTTTCGCCGAACAAATCTCCCCCCACGGGCAAAGCCCTGCCGGAGGCGCAGGAGTATCCTATCGCCATGGCTGATACCCCCCTCATTTCGCCGCAGTCGCCGGCGACGCCGCGTTGGCGGCATTACTGGAGTCTGATGCGCGCTGATCGCCCGATCGGCACGCTGCTGCTGCTGTGGCCCACCTGGTGGGCGTTGTGGCTGGCCGCAGGCGGCCTGCCGCCGCTGTGGACGCTGTTCGTGTTCACCGCAGGCGTGTGGCTGACCCGCTCGGCCGGTTGCGTCATCAACGACTACGCCGATCGCTGGCTCGACCCGCACGTGGAGCGCACCAAGTCCCGCCCGCTTGCGACCGGCGCAATCAGTGGCCGCGCCGCGCTCGCTCTGTTCGCGCTGCTGATGCTGGTGGCGTTCGGCCTGGTGCTGACCCTGAACGGGCTGACCATCGGCCTGAGTTTCATCGGCGTGTTCCTGGCCGCCAGCTACCCGTACCTGAAGCGCTACACCCATCTGCCACAGGTCTACCTGGGCATGTCGTTCGGCTGGGGCATCCCGATGGCGTTCGCCGCCGTGCAGGGCGAGGTGCCGATGCTGGGTTGGCTGCTGTATGCCGGCAACATCCTGTGGTCCACCGCCTACGACACCTGGTACGCCATGGTCGACCGCGAGGACGATCTGAAGATGGGCTCGCATTCCACCGCGATCCTGTTCGGCGATCTCGACCTGGTCATCCAGGGCGTGCTGTACGCGCTGTTCCTGGCCACCATGGCGCTGGTCGGCGTGCGTGGTGGGCTGGGTGGCTATTACCTGGTGGGCGTGGCCGTGGCCACCGCGCTGGTGGTGTACGAGTTCTGGATCTGCCGCAACCGCGAGCGCGGCCCGTGCTTCAAGGCGTTCCTGCACAACAACTGGGTGGGCGCCGCGCTGTTTGCCGGCATCGCCGTGGACCTGGCGCTGCGTTGAGACGCGCAGCCGAGCGTGGGCTCGGCTCTACAGGTGGCCCCCCCCGAAACCGGATATCCGTAGCGCCCGAGCCCATGCTCGGGCGGCGGCGCACAGCGCCGGGCCTTCCGCCGCCTACGACCAATAGGTGGCTGACAGCCTGCACCCCACCGCCCAGAATCGATCCATCGAACCTGGGAGGGTAGGCGATGGCCTCGACGGCAGCAGTACAGGACGGCTGGATGGCGCGCGCAGCGTTGCGCTCGGCCGCCTGGGCGGAAAAGTGGTTCCCCGATGCGTACGTGTTCGCGGTGCTGGGCGTGGTCATCGTCGCGCTGGCGGCGATGGGCTTCGGCTCGACCCCGCAGGCCACCGCCAGCGCCTTCGGCGACGGCTTCTGGAGCCTGATTCCCTTCACCATGCAGATGGCCTTCGTGGTCATCGGCGGCTACGCCGTGGCGACCGCGCCGGTGGTCGCTCGCTTCATCGATTTCCTCGCCCGCGTGCCGCGCACCGGCCGCGGTGCAGTGGTGTACGTGGGCCTGGTCAGCATGCTGGCCTCGCTGCTCAGCTGGGGGTTCTCGCTGGTGTTCGGCGGCCTGCTGGTGCGTGCGCTGGCACGCCGCACCGAGCTGCGCATGGACTACCGCGCGGCCGGTGCTTCGGCCTACCTAGGGCTGGGCGCGGTGTGGGCGATGGGCCTGAGCTCGTCGGCCGCGCAGCTGCAGGCCAACCCGGCCAGCATGCCGCCAGGGCTGGTCGAAATCACTGGCGTGCTGCCGTTCACCGAAACCATTTTCCTGTGGCAGTCGATCGCGCTGACTGCGGTGCTGATCCTCGTCTCGCTGCTGATCGCCTGGTTGACCGCACCGGCCGCCGGCAGCGCTCGCACCGCTGAAGACTTCCCCGGTGCCGCGCAGGCCGAACCGGAGCCACTGCAGCAGCGCACGCGCCCGGGCGAGTGGCTGGAATACAGCCCGCTGCTGACCGTGCTGCTCTCGCTGCTGGCGTTCGGCTGGCTGTTCAACGAGTTCGCCAACAAGCCGGTGGTCACCGCCATCGCCAACCTCAACACCTACAACTTCCTGTTCATTTCGCTGGGCCTGCTGCTGCACTGGCGACCGCGCAGCTTCCTCAACGCGGTGGCCAAGGCGGTGCCCAGCACCACCGGCGTGCTGATCCAGTTCCCGCTGTACGGCGGCATCGCGATGATCCTCACCCACGCCGCTGGCGGCGATGGGCAGACGCTGGCGCACCGGCTGTCGAGCCTGTTCGTGCACGTGGCCAGCACCGATACCTTCGCGCTGGTGA